CCCCGTTCCCGGTGTTCCCCGTTCCCGGAGTCCCCCGTTCCCGAGGGCAGCTCCGAGGCGGGCGCTCCGATCGCGGCCCGGCCCCGCGGGCGGAAGGGGCGGCGCGGGGCGGGCGCTGGGGAGGGAGCGCGGCGGAGATGCCGGTGAGGGGCTCGTTTAGCGCGGGGTCAGCGGGGATTACCGCGGGGATTACCGCGGGGATTACCGCGGGGCAGGAGCCGGGCCGGGGGTGGTTAACGGAGCGGGGTGATTGACTCTAACCCGGCCCCGCTGCGCGGCCCCCGCAGCCGCCGGGGCAGCCCCGGGGCGGGCTCGCTGTCCGTGCGGGCCGAGCCCCGGGTAACGCTGGGCCCTTCTCCTCTCGCCCCACCCAGCTGGCCAAGGACCTCGTGCATCCCTCGCTGGACGACGAGAAGAGAAAGCACAAAAAGAAGCGTCTTGTGCAGAGCCCCAACTCCTACTTCATGGATGTGAAATGTCCGGGTAAGTATTTCAAATGTTTACGCCTTGCAGAGGGAGTGAAACTAATTTTGAGTGCTGTTCATCCTCATAAAACAGCTGCTTATTATATATATGTATTATATATCTTATATACATTTTTTATGTTTTTTTTTAATTTAAGTTTGGTTTATCTGTTCTATAGAGATAAAGCTTTGTGTACTGCTTTGGGTTTTTTTAACAATAGAAGTGTTTTCAACCTTTTTCAAAAGTTAATGTAAACAATGAGCTTTTTATTTTTGCTGGAGGTCTGGCGTGAGGTTTTTCTTGTTTGTTTGTTTTTTTTCCTTTAGGAAACCCTTACAAGTAAGGAAAAAACCAACCCCCTGGATTTGCATGTATAAAAAGTGAGATTAAATGGGTGCCTTAAAGCATCCGCAGCACAAGTTTCAAGTAGAAGACAGCATTAAAGATTAAATCCTTTACAAGTTTTCTCTCTCCAAAAATTCCTCTTGGCTAATTAGAAGTATTTTTCAGGGGGAAAAATTGAAAAGCAGTGAAAATCCCTTTTTTTAAGCCATGTATAAGTGATTTCATTCTTTCTTAAGTCATGGAATTTGTAAGTTGTAGACAAAAGCGTTGCACGAGGAATTAGTGAAGTTCCTCTGTGCAAGTCTTCTGATTTAAATGTCATGTGTGCTTTATAGAATGCAAGCCAGCACCTGCCTTACCGGTACCAATGATTAAACAGAAAGCAAACAGAGGTTGGAACAGCAGTGTTTGCATTCACAGCTGCCAGACTTCGTCAACAGCAGCGTTCTCCTGTTACAAGTTAAATATTTCTCCGGGTAGAAGTGGGTTTTTTGTGTTCAGCTGAGAATGCTAATCCAGAACTGCTGCACTTCTTTGCAGGACACGTATTACAGGCAAATTAGGCCTTGTCAGCCTTCGGGCTGTGTTGATTTTCGGATGGGGAGTCCTTAGTTCCAGTTTCTGTGCTTTCCTGTGGGCGTAAGGAAAAGCGGGTCCTTCAGCCCACAGCCGTGACCTTCCTTTGCCGTGGGGTGTTGGGCACTGAAACATAGATGCATTCTTGGGCAGGTGCACTTGGAGTGTCTGACTGACACGATAAAACCATGCTAGAAATACCCCGTGGAAAGTTCAATAATGCTGTTTTCCAGGATGCTACAAGATCACCACCGTGTTCAGCCACGCTCAGACAGTAGTTCTGTGTGTAGGGTGCTCAACTGTGCTGTGTCAGCCTACTGGGGGCAAAGCCAGGCTCACAGAAGGTAAGGGGACACGTTGGACTGCCCAAATATTCCACTTACAGAAATGCATTTTGTAGCCTGAGAATATTTTAGCTTTGATTCTGGAAACTGATACTGGGACACTTTGCAAACAGCTTGGAGTTGGCCAGTAAATACATTGTTAATGGACCCCAAATTGGGAATTCTTCTTCAGATTCTTGTTTTTAAAAGGCAGCTAAACAGCTACAGTGTCATCAAACACGCTTCATTTTAGACTTGTCATTTCCTTCAGCTTATGTCATAAAAGCTGCTGTTTAATTCTGAGCTATGTTTAGAGTGTTCAAAAGCACCACCAAAGGAGGAGGGTGCTTTTGGCAGCCTGAAGTGGTTGTGTGTCACTGCTACTCTGGGTGGCTTGCCTGCTTGTTTTTAAACAGCAGTGCTTAAAGCAGTTCCCTGGCTCACATTCCTTAATAGAAAATTGGTTTGTATAAATTATAAGGGAACAAATAACCACTGATAATTATGTACAGATAACTGGTATGACACCAGTATCTTGAAATGTACTGGAATCACTTCAGGGTTTAAAAAAAAATTAAAAACCAAATCCAGATTTCATTCATTTCTTGTTTAAAGGACAAAAGGTAAACATATATACAAATTACATATAGGAGTGCTTATACCATGGGCTACTACACAGGGGTAGAGTAAATGAGGACAGAATAGCTGAAGTCAGACTGTGGAGCAGTTGAAAAGGCAGCAACACACCCAGCAGCTTTTTCAGTGTGGGGTCTGTATCACTGAGGAACGGGACAGTAGAGTGACATTTTAAAAGGCCTCTGGAAGAAATAGTACACCTTGCTCTTACTTTAAGATGAATTATATGACAGCCACGTTGTTCTGGTTGAGCTAGAGAAGACTTATAGTGCTAAATCTTCACCTCTTGTACGTGAAATTTGAATTTACTGGATCAGTTTTCCTATTTACATTGGATGGACAGTTTTTCAAGGCAGTCTAACAGTTTAAGGACTATTCATATCTATACTATGTGTTTCCTTTACAGGCTGCTCATTTAGAAGAAAGCAACACTGAACACTTCAAGCATGTGTGTTTGGATCTGTGTTCCTGAAAGCCTTACCAGTTTAAAAATGCCTGTTCCTACAGCAATGTAATTATGATTGATTTTGTAAAAATTACCTGCTATTGCTGACTAATCTGCTGGAATCTCTTTTTCAATAAATGATTGAAATAAATGATGGTTTTTCCTGTAAGTTTGCAGACAACTGAGCTCTATTTTTGTAATTTTACTTCCAAACAGTGGTAAAAGCCTTGGACTTGGCTGCATCCTTCCCCTTGTTAATCATCAACTACAGCAATGTCATGCATATAGTGACAGAATCTGCTTTTAAGAGTGCATTTTGTATATTTTATTACTGCAGCTGCCCTAACTGCAAGGGTTGTGGGAGCTGGATAGATTTAAAATGGCTCCTTTGCTTTCAGTGTAATCCCTTCACCGTGTTGGGTAACATGGGGATAAATAAAAATGTGAAGTTGCTCACCTGTGTTCAGCTGTTTCTCTGGAATGCATGGGTTTTCCCTCCCTCTGGTTTGGTCTCTAGACTGCATTTGGAATTCTACTCTGAGATTTCTATACACAAAAAAAAATAAAGGAGTCTTTTGCAAAACTCTGAAAGCACTCAGGATAGAGAAGGCATAAAATATATAAGCAGCAGTGAGTCAGAACTACACTAAGAGCTGTGAATGGCTGCATATTTTCAGTATTAAATACTGACAGTAAATAATTAAACAATAAAGAAACAGGGGTTTAATTAGTTTTTAAAAGCCAGGCCTTTCTAAATGGCTGTCAAAAATGGGTTTTGTTTTTAACCATGAGAAAACATTAAAATAAAATCTTGCGTGTATCTTACTTTACTAAATAATATCTCAAGTTTTGCATCAACGTCTCTTTCAAAGGATCAGGTGTCTTGGTGAGCTAATTATTTTTGGGAATTTCTATTTAACCAGTATTCTTTTTACGACTTTTAAAATTTGTACATTTCTAGTCAATAAAAAAACCCCAACAAAACCTGATATAACAAATAGTTGCATTTGCAAGGTGAGTTTTATTTCTGTTATTTCAAACAGTGAACACTTGTAATTACCAGATTCAAAAAGTTGGTGTTTGCTACAGAAACAGATATACCAATGGCATATACATGTCTTCTAAGGAAAGTACAGTTGTGTGTCAGTACCATACCATGTTTTCACAATAAAGGTTAAAACATGAGTAAGTCTATCATGAAAGCTGCTCTTAATTGACCAGTTTGCCACATGCAAAGCCAGTCCATCCAATAACTGGTTTCAGAACAAAGATCAAAGCAGCACTGTTAGTTCAGTTGTGACCTGAATACACATGCTAAGGCCAGACTGATTCCTAATCTCCCACATCTCTGCCTTCTCTTCCTCTGCCCCAAAAGGGAAGAACTCATGATTTAGTAAACACCACGGCAGAGAATGTCAGTGACCCATTCTGTTCTAGGCACTGGAAGATGAAATACAGACACCATGGCATCTCCAGCACTGCCCATGTGACAACAGAGGCTTTTTAAAAGCCTTAAGTTACAGGAGGTACAGTACAAACAACATGGTATGCACATAAAAAACTGGTGGCTGAACATTCTATATGGGGAGTGAGACACTATCAGTGATCTCCTGGTGGTAGAAATGCCTTAGTTCTTACCATTATTCATTTTCATACTTCAGATATTTACATTTATTAGTGTTTCATCACATGCAGACAAGGATAAACCTACACCTTCCACATTCTGAATCTTTGTCTAAACCCACACACAACAGCCAGAGACTGAAACTTGTTTTCTCCCAAGTGTGCAAAATTCTTTTCAAAAATAAGTACCATTTGCAAACAGGTGCCTCATACAAGCCAAATATGTTATGAATCCTAAAACAAGTGCTACTTTTCAGATTTTCTAGATTCCAAACATTTAGTTTGGTCTATTTCTATTCATGTTCTTGAACAGGAAGACGAGTAACTCAGAGCTTTTTATTCTCATGCCCTGTGTAAAACAAGCAATGGCTTCTGCTGCTGCAGGTTTACCAGGCAGTAGGTGCTCAAGAGTGGGGAGGAAAAAAAAGCTGCTATTTGTAGAAGATGCTCACCTCCAGTCCTTCTGTACTGGATCTGTCAGACAACACCCAGACTTCAGTGGAAGGGGAGATAATTTATTGCCTGGCCAATGAAAGCTCATTCTGAAGAGCTTTCTTTACTGATTGGATATTCTTGAGATAAAGACAATTATTAATGACATTATTAATGAATAAAAAAGTGAAGTTTTGGTGAGTGGGCCAGAAACCCCAAGCAAATGGTTTAGGTATAAGCTTTGACTGTTTTAAGGCACAAGAATGATTAAATTATGAAGAGTAAACTAAAACAGTCCTACTAGCTTCAATTAAAAATGTAGGTAGAACACTGACCCCTCAAAATATTAAATTTCTTGGTTTGTCAGTCTTGGGTGATAAATGTTACCACAAGCACCCTGGGAACAGAGGTGGCAGCAGAATGTTCATCACAGGGCAGGTAACAACTATGAAATCAATACTGAAAACACTAACTTGGGAAAGAGGCAGGTAGAGCTATTTTCTGCTAGCTGTTATCCAAGACATCTTGTTCCCTAAATTCAGAGAAGCAGAGCTGCAAAAGAGTGCAGGAAAGTAAGTACTGGAAGATATTTTGTGACAAGATACTTTATTTTGTCTCGCCTGGAAATACTGTCTGGGGAAGTGAGGGGGGGTTAATTTTTGAGACAAAATTTTGGAGATCTTACGTTACTATATTCCCATAGTAAAATTAAAGATTAGGGAATCCCACACCTCAAGTGCTGTGTCCAGTTCTGGGCCCCTCAGTTCAACAAAGACATTGAGGTGCTGGAGTGAGTCCAGGGAAGGGAACAGAGCTGGGGAAGGGTCTGGAGCACAAGGCTCATGAGGGAGCTGGGGGGGCTCAGCCTGGAGAGGAGGAGGCTCAGGAGAGACCTCCTCACTCTCTACAACTCCCTGACAGGAGGGGGGAGCCAGCTGGGAGTTGGGCTCTGCCTCCAGGGAACCAGCAATAGAACAAGAGGAAATGGCTTCAAGCTACAGCAGGGGAGGGTCAGGTTGGACATCAGGAAGAATTTCTTCACTGAAAGGGTGGTCAGGCCTGGGAAGGGGCTGCCCAGGGAGGTGGTGGAGTCCCCATCCCTGGAGGTGCTCAAAGAATGAACTGGATGAGGCACAGAGGCTCTGATCCAGTTGCCAGGGTGGTGCTCAGCCACAGGTTGGACTCGATGACATTGGAGGTCTTTTCCAACCTTACTGATCCTGTGATTCTATAAAAATGCTTCTTTGGAACACATCACAATTTCTTTTTCAGCCTTGAGGCAGACCTCCAAATGGAGCAAAGGATGGTTTTCAAAAAAACCTCTCAAAAGTCTGTGAAACTTCTACTACTGGTTCAAGAATGGGCTTTACATTTTATTGAGTTCCTAATTCCTGTGTGTAAACGAATATTTACATTACAGAATACAGTGCCACTTCTGGCTACCAAGTTAGCATGTGCATCATTCAAAAACAAAGGGACAGTTTGGCAGCTCACCATGTTGTGCCATGTGGGTGTATTTGACTGTAGAAATAATCCCCTTATTGCACAGTAAACTATTTTCACACAGTCTCTATGTCCAATAAAAATGGATGAGAGAACATCTGAAAAACAAAAGGATTTGTACTTACATTGCTCTAGCTTCACTCTTTCCTAATTCTTAACAATCCACAGCTCTGACAAAAGCCTGCTTCTGGTATAAATCTGCATTCTGGAGGTAGCATCAAGGTTTGGGTTTTGTTGGGTTTTTTTAAGCAAATAAGAAATGTGCTATGGGAAAACAAAAATCAACAGTGAAACCCTTTTTCTTTAAAAAGTAATACTGAACAGTTTTGGCAGACTGGAACTGTGAGAATAACAAATAACATCTTTGTGTGCTCAAAGCAAGGTGTGAAGTTTTTCAAAAGGCAGATAAGTTTTTGTACTACTTAGTGCAAAAAACAATGCTAGTTTTTTTTAAATCTTGGTCAAGTGTTTCACTAGTTGATAAAAATAACCTACTAATGTAATGATACTTACACATGTACTAGAGGAAGTCAAACTTGACTGTTACATTCTCCTTTTCTGTGAGTTAGGAACGTCCCTGAGAGATGAATTCCAGTTACATGTAAGCTTAGCACCATTAGCAGAGGTTAATTAAGTGAATTTTTGATGCTTTTTCTTCCCATATTCTCAGTGATCTCGGAGCCCAATTACACCTTCTCCCTTTATTGTTCCTGTTTCAGCACAGTGAGTTTGTTACACACTGCCAGGTTTTCAGTCTGTGCACTGTGCCCGTTTTTCCTTGTCGAATTCCCTGGCAATCTTTAAGGCAGTGCTGTTGAGTGACACCGACTGCATGTTACAGACAATGGTGACAATCACTCCTCTGGGTGGGGCACCCCCGGGCCCAGGGCCCAGCTCCTCAGGCAGGATGAGGAGGACACTGCTCGCCCCCACTGCCCCCCCTGTGTGGGATGCATAGTGTCTCTGCTGCCTGCAGCAGCCACACTGCTGCTGCTTCTCCACCACAGCCCAAGCCATGGCGTATTTGCCATCCCTGTCCCACGACACCTCCGTTTTTGGCACCGGGGTCCACATCATGGACACTGTGCCCGGCTTGAGGTACCCGGGCAGAAGTTTGCCAACGCTGCTTTTAAACTGTCCAGCTTGGTAACTGTACAACAAGGCATTTCCAAACTTCAGGAGGTCCCCCACTGAGGACAGAAAGCCACCACCAGCCCACTTGTAGGAGTTGTCCACGTAGGGTGCGTTGACCAGCCGCCCCTTTTTGTTGTAAACATAACACCTACAAATCAAGAACATTCAGCTTGTCACTCTCAGGCACTGTGCACATCGATTTTAAGCTGCCCTACCTTGAAAGAGCAAACTGAGCATGTATTAGCTTGTTGAGATTTTTTTAAAATATATTTTTCTTGTATATATTCATTGCAGAAAAATCAACAAGAAATTCAGACAGGAAAACAAAAATTAAGGTGACTTCTTTGGTTAGAAGCTTGGTTTCAGTACAAGTACTCATCCTACTTACTCTTAGGATATACTAAGAATAAAGGCAATATACAAATAAGACATAACAAAAATCAATAGATCAGCCAACAGAGATTTTTTGTTAAATCCCTGTACTAGATTTGAAGTGGTTTAAAGAAAGAGGAATTCTACAACAACAGATAATCAGACACTGAGCTGAAATGTCACTGCAGCCTTGGGTGACTGCTCTGACTGACTCCCCCCACTGCCCCATTCTGGTTGCCATATTCTACAACAAAGCAAGAAGCATGAAGGAGTCTTACAAAACACAAATTAGAAACTGCCAACCAGAACTGCAGAATGAAACTATGAGGAACAACACAACAGCAGTGCAGAATGAATTATGCTTTTGAAAGAAGCCGTCCAATCATGCCTTGATTCGTTCCACACAACACGTGAGAAGGAATGTTGAATAAATAGGTAACCCACTGAACTTCAACCTTTGGTCTTCAGACCACATAAGGTCTATGTACTACTTGGAAAGTTCTGAAAAGGAACAAACCTATCTAGCATGCACTTACATTGGAAAGATTTGGGGAAACTTCTGAAAGTTATAATATTGAAAATCAGAGGTTGAAGCAAAGAGAGGTGAATGGTCCAAGATCCAAGACAATCATCAACTCTGGAATTCAGTGTCTCGTTGCCCCCACAGTGAGTGTTTTGATCACATAAAAACCCTGCTACAAAGGCACTGAAATGCCTGCCTTACACCTCTAAAAGATCCTGAACACAGATTTTTAAACATTTTCTGACCAGTTAAATATAGTATAACCAAACCATTAAACAAACCTCAGCATGTCAATACATTCTGTTTTGAGGCATCAAGCTACTTTGTGGAAGCAAACCCATCACATCAGCATCTCAGTTCTGCCTAACAATTAGTAGCCCAAAAAAGACCCTCAGAACAGCATCTGTCCCAATTCTTTCATCCCTACCATATTTCAGTTTATAAAAGGATTAATATATGCACATGTTTAATAAACTTCACTGTACAAGCTTGATAATTTATGAGAACATCATGAGCATCCAGATGAGCTTCTGAGCCTCCAGCCAGAGAGCCTCTGAAATTTAGCAAGCAAACTAAATATCACCCCAAAGCAGTAAAGCTGTCCCTGAGCAGTCAAAAATGCTTTGTGTCTATGTGTGCACACACACACCCTGAATACACACTTGTATGTGAGTACCATAAACCTCAGATTCAACATGGTCATCATTCTGTGAGAGCATTTGAGAAGCCAAACTTTTAAAAAGTTTTGAGTCTCACTTCCATGAGACTTTTACCACAAACTGCTTGGCCATTCAATGGAATTCTTGTCCCACACCAAAATTTAACAGGTGAGTCAATAATCGATTTCAGAGCCCAGATGGGAAGGTCAATAAAATATCAGAGAGAGACAAGAAACCCACTATATTGGAATGGATTATCCAGTTACACAGATTTCTCTGGGTTCGTTGTTGTGTGGGTGGGTTTTTTTCTTTGTTTGGGTTTTTTGGGTTTTGTTTGTTTAGAGATTTGTGTGTGTGTGTGTGTGTGCTTTTTCCATGTTAAATTAATAAAAAAAAATCAACTGGTAGAGCACTTCTGTGTTAAACAGAATTTTAATTCTGGTCAAAATTGATAACGTCATTTGATTCATGAAAACCCTGTGTTATTGTGAGACTATTACAATTCCATGGAACTCTTAAAATGCCAGTATATTAAGCAAACCAAGACAACTCTAATTTCCAATATAAACTCCTAGTTACTCCTTATTTTACTGTATTTACATTTATGTGCTTATTTGTACCCAAAGTAAATGTAAACTTCCAAGACACTCCTCCCACTTCCCCCACATTTACTCTTATAACAGGAAATACTTATTTCCTACTCTAATTTTACACACTAATTACAGAACCAATGCCATGGTATTGGAAGCAGCTCCACGACTAACTTTGAGATAACACACAACAGTTCACTTCAAAATCTGGAAAAAAATTTTCACACATTCTTAATTCAGTTGGCTTAATAAAGGCAGAAAGAGCAACAGTTGTTGGGGGGAAAAGCAAGTTTCATCCTTGCTTACCTTGCTCTGTTATATATCATTGCTTCATTGTCATCCAGTACAGTGGACAGCATATCCAGATCACGAAACATTTTCAGCATATAGTCTGTAAATTTTTGTCCTGAAGCTCTCTCCACAACAGCACTTAAGAGAGTAAAGCCATATGTGGAGTACAAGAACTGACTGCCTTGAAGAAACACAACGAGAAAGGGAAAAAAACCCCATTAATGGCACGATGTTTAAATGGAATCACAGCTATATGTAGGAGTGAATAATCAATTAAAAGATTACCTCTCCACCCTCATTTTAATATCACATGAATCACAAGTTTATGATACCAAACCCCAGGAAATTCTGTACTGCAGAACAGAGCAAAACCCCCACACAGACACTCGTTACTGGACTCCACCATCCTCATAACACGTAAAACTATTTGAAACAAATATCTCACCAGGAGAGCACACTTCGGTCTAAATTAATAGAAACTCACCTGGTTTAAAGAATAAAGGATCATTTTTAAATATCTTCAGTGATTCAATCACACTTTCAAATTTTTCCTTCAAATAATACTCTTCCTGCTCAAACTCCTTATCCCTCCTGCCAGGTTTTGAGTTCCGGCCTTTCGTCTCACCGTCGTGTTCTTTCCTTGGTTTGGCAGAATCAGTCTTTTCAATCCCTTTGCCTTCTCTTTGTTCTTTATCCTGATGGGGTTTTGTTGGCTTCAGTGCTCTGTTTGCCTTTTCCTTTTCTTCTTTTACTTTTGCAATATCTTTTTCATAGTGACGAATCCCACTCAAGTGTGAAACCAACAGTCTTGTCGTGATAGTGACCTGGGACACAGGATAATGTGAGCTCCCTTAATTAAAACATAGGGACCAAAATCACCAAACAAGTTAAATTCACCATGACAAGGAACAGACAAAGGTGTAAGACCTTTCAAACATCATGTATTAAACCCAGTAAAAATATATACATATATATGCACACACTACACACTTGATGTAAAACTGAATTTTCAGCATTGCTTTTCTGAGCAGCAACATCAGTACTTGTCTAAATGATTTTAGGGTTTTACAGGTTCAGATCCAGGCACCTGTACACACACAGCTATGCAGTGGCAGGAACAGAAATTAAAAAAACCCAACTTAATTAATTGTTACCAATAAACAATTACATACCTTTTCACCCTCGTAGACTTTTTCTGGAAATTCAGGGACATACTTCTGCACCGGAGCATCTAAATCCAACTTCCCCTCTTCCCACAGTTTAGCCACAGCCATCATTGTGAGACACTTGCTAATGCTGGCTATTCTCATGATGGTCTCTGGCTTACACAGGACACGGTTCTCCACGTCAGCATAGCCCAGACCTTTGGGAAAATGAAACACTCTGCTAGGTGCTTTGCACAGACACAGGCTGAATTAATTATTTGCAACGATTTACTGGCCTCTTAAATGTTTTTCCTCCAGCTAAACTGGGATATGAAGCATTGGACTATGCCAGCTCCTGCTCTAATTAAGTTAATAACTTTTTGTGGTAGTAGGAGTAGTTAATCAGAACCCATTGGATTAACCAATGGCACCCCAAGTTACTGATTAAGACTACAACAAACCTAATGATAAATTAAATGGAAAATTAAGCCAAAATTTACACTCCTGAGGTCAAATATTCAATGTATAAAACCCAAAGAGACCAAATCTAGACTGTAAAGTAACTGAACAACAGTCATAAACACTCCTTTCATGAATTAATGATTGAAGCAGTAAAGGGTCTTATTTTATCAATACACAAATTGAGAAAGGAAATCACTCACAAACTCACAGCAGCGACCTAAGCTGTAAAGCTTCACAAAACAGTGCTGTTACACACACTGTTTCAGCATCACTCAGCATGACTTCAATTAAAATACAGCTTAACAGTTTCTGTAACAGTGTTTTCCCATGTAACCCCACAAGTCTGGTAGCATGAACTGGAATTAATAAGGCAGTATCAGAGTGCCATACTAGGCTTCAGTTTGAGCCAGGTTTGAAGGAACTGTGCAAGTGATGCTGCAGTATAAAAAGCACCAAAATGCAGCAATGACATATTTGCAGTTTGCAGGACAAGCAAGTCCTGGGCACAATCAGTGCACATCTGTCTACATAAAACTGTAGTCTAACGATTAACTACTCAGGAAAAGTCCCAAATCTTGATACAATATAAGAAATAAAGAGCCATGCCAGTTGCCCAGGACCCTTTCTCTTACACAGTTGCTACCCAAGTGCTTGCACAGTGCTTGTGAGCACAGATGCTGTTCCTCTCAGGGAAAACACTCCCAGACCTCACACCATTCCCACCAGTTTGGCCAGGAAGCAGGTTTGGTACCCTGCTCACAGAGCACAAGCACCTCACACCTGCTGATGTTTTTCCCCCTTGAAGAAAGGGGGAGGAGACCCAAACAACCTGGAATTCTGCTGGAGCTGTGATCCCACCCCCAGCTGTCCCACAGCACTGCTGTTCCCCGTGTCCATGTGCAGCTGGGAACAGAAGGCTCTGCCCTGCCTTATGCTCCCACACCTAGTGGCATTTGCCTTGCTACTGGATGTGGCATCCTGGTGACAAACCACGACCCTGGCACTCCTTCCCTCAGGCACTTCCCTACCTGCCAAGGAAGGGATTCTACAGAGGTCTTATAAAAACTTCTGCTTTCATTGCCAGGTAATGTGAGACCAGAAAAATCTCTGATCTGAGAAAGTTTGTAATTAAGTTTTAGCAAAAAATTCTCATTAGGGCACCTTACAAAAGGTACCAGAGGCTCTCCCAACCCACTTCTGTCATGATGAAAGAGAAATTAAGCCCCATAATCAGCTTTATACACATGTAAAAGTTCACGGAACAACCGAATGTCTGAAGAAAGTTAGTGACAACTCACTTACAAACATTTTTTTCTTCAAATTCTATACAAGATAAAATGAAATACGTTGCCATTTACTACTATCATTTAAGTTGTAACCAACATATTGGGTTTTTGAAACTCATGAAAATGTTTCTGAAAACAGACACATGTTTTTAGGTTATTTTTTAACATCAAATGTCTACACGATATGAGCAGTACTAACACACTCTACTTAAACCTAAACTGTGTAACCAGAAAAATCACTTGCAATTTCTGAAAGGATCACACCTTCCCAGCAAAAATCTGCACCTCAGCCCACAGATGGGAGACAGGTCACCAAATGTGAGCCATTGTTATTTTGACTATCCCTGTGGGGAGAACATTTCTTTACCTCCTAGATACAGCTCTACCAGACAAACTATCTATTGATTGGAGTGTCTGAATTGTTCATTTTTAAAATGTTCATCAGCTCTCCACAACATGCACAACTACTTCCTCCATCCACTGACCTTCTGACCAGACTTCCTTTCCATCCACAGAAACTCCAACTATTATACCTGGGATTCCTGCTTCATCCTGTCAAAAAAACCCAGACAGAACACATTTAAAAGGATCTTTACAGTTAAAAACCACCTCCTCCCAAACCTTTAAACTGCAAGAGCAATCCTACAAATACACCTGTACATTGTTGTTTCATTACAGTTAAAATTTTGTTATGTACCAGTTGGGCTGAACTGATACAAACTGCTTTTGCAATGCTGTCATTTTTATCCAGCCTCTGGGAAAAACATAGCTAACAACAGTAACCACATAAATAATTTCTTTAATAATTCAATCCAATTAGGGAACAGGACACGTAAGAAGAACTGAACAGAAACAAAACATGACAGAGTTAACATGTAACAGGCAAACTGCATCACCTATTGGCAAGCAGGACTTCAAAGGAGCTTCGGCTGGATTTTCAAAGTAACTACAAATTACTTTTTAAACAGAATCCCAGATTATGCTGAGCTGGAAGGGCACCACAAGGATCATCCAGTCCAACCCTCAGCCCTGCACAGGCCCATCCCCAAGAGTCCCACCCTGTGTCCCAGAGGATCAGCCAAACCCTCCTGGAGCTCTGGCAGCCTTGGGGCTGTGCCCACTGCCCTGTGGAGCCTGGGCAGTGCCAACCAGCCTCTGGGGGAAGAACCTTTGCCTGAGATCCAACCTGAGCCTGCCCTGACACAGCTCCAGCCGTTCCCTGGCTGCTGTCCCTGGTCCCCCCAGAGCAGAGCTCAGTCCCTGCCCCTCCTCTGCCCCTGCCCAGACAGCTGGAACCGCAGAGAGGTCTCCCCTCAGTCTCTTCTCCAGCTGAACAGCCCCAGTGCCCTCCGTGTCCTCACACGGCTCTTGTCTGTCCTTCCCTCAGCCTGTAGGGCCACCCCTGTTCGCAGTGCCCCACACTGTGCCGCTCCCCACAGCCCCCGTGCCGACCCGGCCCGAGCAGCACCGACACGGGCAGCGCTCCCCTCACACCTTGACCCTCCGCAGCAGGTCCCTGCTCCGCTCCACGGCCGCGCCGAAGCCCCGCGGGGGCGGCGGCTCCTCCTCCCGCCCTCCGTCCGCCTCGCCCCCCGCCCGCGGCCGGACCCCCACGGCCAGACCCAGTGCCAGCCCCCAGCCCCAGGGCCGGGACCCGGGGACGCGCCCGGGCCGCGCCGCCGCCCGGCACAGGGACCGGCACAGAACGGCCCGGCCCGGCAGAGCCCGGCCCAGGGACCGGCACAGAAGGGCCCGGCCCGGCAGAGCCCGGCCCAGGGACCGGCCCAGGGACCGGCACAGAAGGGCCCGGCCCGGCAGAGCCCGGCCCAGGGACCGGCACAGCCCCGCCATGGCCGGGCCGGACATGGCACCGCCCGGGCACAGGCACCGCCAGCCGCGCCCGAGCGCATCGAGCGCCGCGCCTGAGGGAGACACGGGACAGGCGGGGCGGGAGGAGAGCGGGGACAGACGGGCTGGGCACGGGAGGAACGGGGGTAAACACGGGGTAAACACGGGGTGTACACGGGGTGTACACGGGGTATACACGGGGTATACACGGGGTGTACACGGGGTAAACACGGGGTAAACACGGGTTAAACACGGGGTGTACACGGGGTATACACGGGGTAAACACGGGGTGTACACGGGATATACACGGGTTAAACACGGATTAAACACGGGGTGTACATGGGTTATACACCGGCTGTACACAGGATATACACACGGGTTATACATGGAATACACACGGGATATACACAGGCTGTACATGGGATATACACGGGATATACACGGGATATACACAGGCTGTACATAGGATATACACGGGATGTACACGGGATATACACAGGATATACATGGGATATACACGGGATGTACACGGGATATATGTGGGTTATACACAGGCTGTACACAAGTTATACATGGGTTATACACAAGCTGTACACAGGATATACACGGGTTATACACAGGATATACATGGGATATACACTGGCTGTACATGGGATGTACAGGGGTTATACACCAGGTGTACATGGGATCTACACCAGCTGTACGTGGGATGTACATAGGTTGTACATGGGTTATACACGGAATCAAAGAATCCCTTGGGTTTGAAAAGCCCTCCCAGCCCATGGATCCCCCCTGTGCCCCATGTCCACCTTGTCCCCAGCCCAGAGCACTCAGTGTCACAGCCAGGCCTTCCTGGGACACCTCCGGTGCTGGGCACTCCAAACCTCCCTGGGCAGCCTCTGCCAAGGCCTGACCACCCTTTCCTTCAGGAAATTCTTCTTGATGTCCCACCTGAGCCTCCCCTGGCACAGCTGGAGGCCGTTCCCTCTCCTCCTGTCCCTTGTTCCCTGGGAGCAGAGCCCGAACCCCCCCGGCTCCCCCCTCCTGTCAGGGGGTTGCAGAGCCAGAAGGTCCCCCCTGAGCCTCCTTTTCTCCAGGTTGAGCCCCCCCAGCTCCCTCAGCCGCTCCTGCTGCTCCAGCCCCTTCCCCAGCTCCGTTCCCTTCCTTGGACATGTTCCACCTCAATGTCCTTCTGGTCATGAGGGCCCCAGAAGTGGACACAGCACTGGAGATGTGGCCTCTCCAGTGCCCAGCACAGGGGATTTAGAGCTGATTCCTTTATTTAACCACCAAAAGCCACCTACTTTTGTGTCCACATGCAGTCACAGGCAGTATTTAGCAATGTGAGTCAAATCCCTGTGAATCCTCACCAAAGCCTTACTCCCAGAAAAGAAAGGTTTTTAGGGCACAATTCCTCTCTGCCAGGTAACTGGAATGCCCAGAGCCCCAGCAGGCTCAGCACCACCCACCCTTCCTCCTGATGGAGGTGGGTTTGTAACTCCTGCCAGCACCAACATGGCCTTGACAGAATAACCTGGGTTTAACCAATAGTTCTATTGCACTGACATATAAGAAAAAGATAGAGAGAAGGTGAAGGACACTTCAAGCCACAACAGGTTTTCTTAACTCTGCTCTCAACAGCAAACGACTGCAGGATAAAATGAAAAGAGCCTGTTTTATCAGGTGTATGCCAGGCAGAAGGGAAGTAGAGCAAGCTGGTCTAACACCCAGATAAAACCTTTTACCTGCAAGATGAGCATATTTGATCTTAGTCAGGAATCACTTACAAACGCTGAATCTTCCAATGCTTTAGTGTCAGCTTTCAGCCTAGAGCAGTGCCATGGCACAGCAGGCACATGCAGAGCTCTGAAAGAACAGACTCCCCTCTTCTGTTCAAAAGTGTAGCTCAGTGTTTTGAGATGCTAACCCAGAGATTTCCACCTTCTTCATGTCCCACGATCTCAAAAGTTGTGGGATTTGGCAGGCAGTCTGGCCAAACAGCTTTCATGTGTGAAGTCAAATGCAGACCAGATGTTACCCTTTTCACTGCAGGCATTTATTGCTCATTAGTATTTTGTCAATAAAGTTCCATTGCTTATCACAGTACAACTTCATAACCAACTGGTACAAGATGCTGTATTTACTGTCTTGTAACTCATTTTCCCTGTGTTAAATGTCTCTGGAAGCATTTTGCAGCAGGATTCTCTGCATTCTTGTATTAATCTGCTCAGCAGGAACACTCCTTGGCACCACACTTTTGAATGGGCCTGAAACAGAGCTTGCCATTTTTCTCTGATTTCTTTAATGAAGAGCTTTGTGTTAAATCCAGTAGCACAACATGACCTGCAGTTATCTGTTGTCTCTTCCTCTAAACTGCTGGTTTTGCTAACTTTGAGTTGAGATATCAGGCTTATGAGATTTTGAGGGTCTTCTACTTCCACTGATGGCAATAGAAAATGAGGATGGTGAGCACTAGGCTCATCCAATTCTATTTTAACAAAAAAGACAATATTTTTCTTCTGTCACTGTCCATAAGTCACTCAGAAGTATAGGCACAGATTCTCAGCTTCTTTATGTAACACGGCCAGAAAAGTTGGAGACCCCTCTGGCTGGGTGGAAAAAGCTCCACATGGTTGGTTTAGCACTAAACCAGCTGATTTTCCTCTGTCCTGCCTCCTTGCCAAGCCATACTTGGCAGATTTGAAGAGCCTGTGTGTTGAGATGGGCTTTATCCAGCTGATAAAGAATGGTGACACAATGAATCTCCCAGCAGAGCAGGGCTGTGCTCCCTCACCTCAACGCGGGCCAGATTTGGAGTCTCACCATCAAGAACCCTTAAAGGTTTTACAGCCTTTAAGACAAACAACAAATGCTCAGTTTGCTGAGTGCTGCTGCATTCACTGGCTTTTTCATGGTACTGTGACTGTGTGAGCTGGGGAACCCCAAGAAGGTTGGCAGCAGCTTTTGTTCTGCTCTGCAGTGGTGCAGCCCTCCAGCACAAGATGCAATATGCTCATTGCTCCTGGTGGTACCAGTTTGTGGAAACATCAGGTATTTGCAAATTGTGAGGCTTCATCAGCACTTCATAAAACATGACTCTCAAAAAAAAAATAAAAATAAAACCAACCCAAAAACATTCAGGCCTTTTGAAAACAATTTCATCACTTCCATCAGTCTTCCTCCATTTCTGCAAGGGCTTTTGTGGATCCTGATGTCTCAGCAACATTGAACAGATGTTATTGTGGCTGTTCCTGCTGTAGGTCTGGACTTTGATCATGTTATTTTTTGCTATGATGATCTCATTTGCTTTTCTAGTTCACTGACAAACTCTACAGTGACACGCCCCTAAATTTAACATTTCTATTGAAAAAATGGGTTATGTTTTTAACAAACAACATCTAAGGTTTGAAAGACAGAAAACAAGTGATGAGTATTAGTATTCCCCTGATAAAGGGCTGGTCAGTTCTGAAGTCATGACCTCAGCTCTGCTCTTTCATCCTATTAAATACCATTTGTAACTGCCACAGACCCAGACTGAAGCTTGAAGGTTCAGTGTGTAGGAAGGGGCTCTTAAAAATGTAGAAAGTAACAGTGTAAAGAAGCTACTTCTCTTTGTTTGGATTTATTGCAAAACAATGAAATGTTCCATTAATCCAATAGATTACCATTGTTCCAACTGGATTCCAATAATTAAAAACTAACTTTTAGATCTAAAAATGTTGAATCTAATGAAATACAATTAACAGACAAAAGCTAAAATTGTCAAAAAGGACTGTAATTTATATTTGTGCTAGGTAAAATGAAGAAAAATAGGAAAGGAACAACTAAAAATATTATCTATAACATAGATATGTGGGAAATTTATGTTGTTGGAAAATACAAAGAGTAAAGGGATAACGATTCTCTTGATCAAACCTGATGTTTCTACTCAGCACAAGAAAGATTTAAAAGACTTTCTGAATTTGAAAAGAATATAAATAAAGGGAATGTTAGATGTAGAGAGAAACTGAGCTGTGCTTTCTCTCTCTCTCTTTTCAGAAGCAATTTCATTTATTTGAGAAGCAAGAGACAGAATTTTTATTCCCCTCTGGCTTGAAGCATTTGTACAGTAGATGGCAGTAAAACCCCTCACCAATTTAACCAGTTATCCATGGAAGGAGTGGTTCCACTGCAGTGGGATCTCTCTTGGCTGTCCCAGAACTGCTGAGCTCAGTTATCATTACAGGTTCCTCACCCACATCCATTTTTTGTTTGCTCTTGGTCGGTGTAGCCGTTCTCAGAGCATTATTTTTTGTTTTTCAAGTAAGGGAATAGCTGCCTGACTATAGTGCCTATATCCCTGCAGTGAACAGTGCACCAATAACACTCTGTGCTAGGGCAGTTAGACTCAGCCATGAAAGCAGGCAGACTATCCTCTAAAGGCACATAAATAAACACATACTCACAGCTTGACTTTAGGATTAAAATTTTCCCTGGGTTGTTGTTTTGTTTTGTTTTGTTTTGTTTTTTTTCCCAAACTAAGGTTGCAGGTAGGTGAATCCCCCAACAGTTTAGCTGAGAAACATTAGTCAGGAACAACCCTTTAAACATGTAAGATATCTGGCCAAGAGAAAGAGGAGCATTAAAACCAGTGAATCTTCAGACACCGAGATCAACGTGTCCATCATCAGCTCTGCTTGAACTATGATTAAGATACTTGTGAATCAGAACTGTCTGGGGAGTTTAGTTAAACATGGCATGCTTTTTCTGCCCCTCACCAGAACACTGATCCTGTTGTGGCCACAGCAGCAGCACATGGTGCCATGGCCCTGTCCCCTCACAGGTCTCTTCCAGGGCAGCAGTTGTGGTCCCCAGACCCAACCAGGAGCCCAGGCAGCAGCACAGACCTGCAGGCTGGTGCAGAACCACAGCTGGGTAGCTTTATTCCCTCCCCACTCCCAACACAAGCACCATAAAAACAGCATAACCCTCCTTAATTTACTCCATTTCCCTGTGTACTCAGG